TATATATATATATTAACAACCATCCAAACTCACACCCTTTCTGTGCTACATGGAGACCCTTCATCTGAACTGCCCTTGGCCACCACCCCAAACTGTCTGGTGTTCCTGGTTCATGCTAAGCTTTTTGATTTCCGTATAATTCTCCCTAAAAGGTTGTATCTTCTTCTCTGTCCAATGCACTCTTACCCATCCATAATGACCTCCTTTCTAAAGCTTTCTCCAACATTAGGAGGGTGGGATGAGTTGATTTTTCCTTGGAAATATGTACAACCATTTTCTTAAAAAGAGTTTTAGTATATACTAAGATGCATTCAGCTGCAAGTAACAACAATTTTAACTGAAACAAATGTAAGCAAAAAAGAACATTTATTATCTCCATAACTGAAGTCCAAAAATGCATAATCTTCATGGCGGGTTGTGTTTGCAGCCAACTGTATCAGGAAGATTCGGTCCTTCCCTTGGCTCTGCACTGCTTTTCTCAGGGCTGATTTCCCTGTCCGGCTGGTGGTCCCCAGAGTTCAACCAGGTCCAGCAACATTCAGAGAAAGAGGAAAGAATCTCTTCTAGGTCCTTATCTTAGAGTGTCAGTACTTTGTTTTCAACATTAAATTCTTCTGGTACCTTGCTCAGCCTCATAAGAAGCTCTTCCACTGAACTATATTCACAGTTCTTATCAAGAATTTTGTATGAAGCCCCTACTAGATTCCTTTCACTTCTTGTTGACTGAAACAGGGTCAGAGAACCCATTCTGGAGCCCATTGCCACAAAAGGGAGTTGGAACATTCTTTGAGCTGACAGGTTAATTTAACCAGCTCGCATGGGAGGGGTAGATAGAAAAGCAAGACCGAGCTTTAGGCTAAGAGGAGGATGGAGGTCAGTTGACAATCAGTAGCATCTGATACACTTACCAGGTAGAAATAGAAATACATGTATTATTACAATTTAAGGATTTATCTTCTTGTTTTAGTGAAGGGGCAATTCTCTCTCTCTCTCTCTCTCTCTCTCTCTCTCTCTCTCTCTCTCTCTCTCTCTGGCAGAACCGGGGATTGAACTCAGGCCCTTGTGCTTGCCAGGGAAGCACTTATTCCCCTAAACCATCTCCCGAGATTAATGATCTCTTAATTAAGATCATTTTTTTTCTCAGACTCCATACACTGACAGAGAAAGAATTACAAAATTCAGTTTTTCCACAATCTTCATGTACTGATTTGTTTTGGGCTCTGGAATTCTTCTGGTACCACATAGTACTGTAATGTGTACCTTTGCAATGGTCTGGTTAGGTTCATGTGGATAGTTGAGTTTGTTGCCTTATACTGCTCCAGGGAAGCAACACACCTGCAGAAAAAGAATTATAAAGGATTAAGCTGCTGTTTTGTCCTATAGTGGGGCTCTGTGTGAGAGACTGTGAACACCCAGGACCAAACAAAGCCAAAGAGATTTTGTCTTTTTTGTATCTAAAAGAGCATTCTGGAATACTGTTTAATGAATATTTTACTGTGTTTTAAGTCTACATTCATATTCCCCTAAAAAAGTCCCTGTGGAAATGTTTCAGCATCCTACAAGAATGATAATCAAGGGCCTGCCAAGTAGCTCAGTGGATTAAAGCACCTGCAAGCAGGTGCAGGGACTGGGGTTCAATCCCCAGGCCTTCCATGCCGTCCCTGTCCCCAAGGTGTGCTGAGATGGCGATTGAGACTGGGTGTGGGGGTGCACGCCTGCAATCCCAGCTCTTGGGAAGCTATAAACAGGAGAATCACTGTGAGTCTGATCTAGTAGTGAGACCCTTCCTTAAAATACAAAAAAGAAAGAAAGAAAGAAAGAAAGAAAGAAAGAAAGAAAGAAAGAAAGAAGAAAAAAAAAGAATGATAATAAGATGCAACAGAAGAACGAAGAATGATGGTATATTCCTGTAATCCCAGCATTGGAAGGGTGAGGAGGGAGCCTCCAGTTTGAAGCCATCCTGGGTTATATGGCGAACCCCTGTCACAAACAACCAACAGTCAAACACAAGTTGGTTATGAAGTTCAAGCTTCTTTTTATAATAAGATAGTTGTACTCTATTCTTAGTGCAAAGCAGGATTGCAAGTTTGGACAACAGGCAAGGAGCCAGTAAGTTCAGATACTCTAATATTGTTATGATTTCTATCTCAACGTCCCTGCAAAGCCCCTTCATCTCATAGGTGAAGCTCAGGAGGCAATTGGATCAGTCCACTGATGAGTTTAAAGTTAAATGTGATGCTGGGGGGTGTGGCCTAGGGAGGAGGCATCTCTCTGTGTTCCTTGATCTCTCTGGTTCCTGTCTGCTCTGCCGTGAGCTGTTTCTCCTCTGCCACACCCCTCTGCTGTACCCCCCTGCCTTGGACCCAGCTGACTGTAGACTGAAACTTCTGTACACTGTAAGCCAAAATAAACCTTTCTTCCTTTAATTTGTGGGTGTCTGCTACTGTGTTCCAGCAACGAGAGAAGTAACTAAGACAAATATTTTAGAGAGAAGACTCACTTATGTTCTTTTCTTTTATAACTGACAAACTCCAGAGCAATACCTAGAAGCGGAACGAATACATACAGTAAGGGAGAAAGTGGAATTTTCTTTTGTCTTCAACATGGCTAAAGAAATGAGAACTAGTCCAAAAATACAAGATTCAAATTTATAAACGTTCCTGGATATGAGTACCTCAGAGGCAGCTTCTTGCTTCCCTCTTCTTCCTGCCCTGACAGATATCACAGTGGCAAGTGTATGTCAGGCATCTGTTAAATTGTAGTTATGCTGAGAGCTCTGCCAGCGCTCTGCGAGGACAAGAACACCACAGCATTTGTTCCTTTTTAAAAAAAATTTATTTATTTGTGTGTGTGTGTGTGTGTGTGTGTGTGTGTGTGTGGCCAGCTCAGCCCACCAGGGGGCGGGGCTGGCTGGCATGTGGTGCTGGGGGATTGAACCGCAGTCCCTGTGCTTTGCTAAGCTTTAGACCACTGAGCCATCTCACCAGCCCCAGCATTTGTTCCTTACATGCGACACTTAAACATGTTGTTACCTGAAAGCCTACATGGAGTACCCTTTCTTCCTGACTCCAAGGGAGTTTGTGGACTTGGAAAAAGTGCAGGTATAATTCAATCTGAAGTGCTTTTTCTATATGAAAATGAATGAAGAATAGTACACAGTTGTTGTACTGCACAGTCTCATTGTATAATCAAGGAAACCTAGCGTTTGTGGAGCAACATAAACAATATAAGGTTTTATAACTGGCACCTTGAGTGTGTGGTTCAAACTCTAACTACTAGAAGACCTGAAAGCTGAAGGAGCTCAGTGAGCCCAGATTCTATCAGGGCATGGGTTCCCCAGGTGGGACTTCAGAAGGGCTTGTTAATGCTTTAGGGGTGAAGTTCTTTGTTCAGTCTCCACAAAGGGCTTCTATGCTGTTGGAAAGTGGAGGTCAGTGTTCTGCAGAGAGCAGGTTCACCTTGGTGCCACCCTAAGCATCCTGACGCTGAGAACTGAAGAAGCAAAAGATACAGGTTCAATAGAGATTCTGCCTGGAGAAGACAAAGCCAGTAAAGGGCAAGGGGCACATCCTGTGTGTGTGTGGACATGACATGGAGTCAGTGCAGTGCAGACACGTGCTGAAAGGCTGTTACGCTGTGGAAGCAGCTGTGGTCTTCGCTCTCCTGGCAAGCATGGCTCGGCTCTGTTTCCGTGGTTTAGCAGTGAGTGGTGATAAGCCACAACAGCCAGTCTTTTCTTTGTTTCATTGCAAAAAATGACTTATGCTTTCTTTATCTTGTAAACTCAAATGGATATTTTTAAAAATCCCTCTCATTAGATTCCCCCACAATCTTCTTTTGTATATCATCTGTAATTGTATAGCCTTGTGCATTACTTCAGCACTCCATGTTTGTGTCAGCAAAGGGCCAACGCACTGCCTTTGGCTATAGAAAGCATTAGGAAGCTCCGTGGACAAAGGTCTGGCCTCCGACAAGGAAGGATTTTCCAGTCTCGGCTCCCATGGTGGGGTGCACAAATGGGCACACCTGGGTGTTTCAACCAGTGCACTCAGAAGCAGAGGTCTTCCCAATGACCTTCGCAATCTGCTGGGGTAGCACTTGCTCTCATTGCTTGGGCTGTGGAGGAAGAGAAGTGCTGGCACCTTTTGGCTCCTGTGTTAAGGTGGCTCTTCTAAGCAGTGGGTGCTGAAAAAGATTAATCATTAAAAATACGTATTGGGGTGAAATTCTTTGGGAGGTAGTGGGGAGGAGCCCTGAGGATGTTGGAACAGCTTGGTCCCTGGTACAAGCCTAACACTTAGGGATAGCGAGAAGAAAGAAAGGATGAGCAGGAATTCTTCAGGCGATAGTGAAGTTCTAAGACAGGTTTGTCAGGGGTTCTGGAGTGACCTTGAAACACGGCCGTGCTTCAAAGGTGGCTCCATCTACTATGTTAGTAACCCTGCTGTGCTTAGTCATTGCCTGGAAACTGGGTTAGGGATCCTCAGAAGGAGGAGCACAGGCACTGAGACCACTGGTCCCTGCTCACTGAGGTGACCGTTAGTGCTAATACATCTGGTCACTTCTAGTTGCAAGCAGCCTCATCCACCTATTTCTATATGCTTCCTCTTGAAGATTGGGACTGGAGAGGGCCACACAGAACTATTTAAGATTTGAGGCTTTGGGAACTTAATGACACCAAGTACTAGGCATTTAAGTTACGACAAAGACTTGATTTTCCCAGTTGGAAAATGGCAGTGGGTACTTCGTGTTCCCTTTTTGGTTATTTCTCTGAAAGCATTTTGCAAAAATAAATGACTCACCAACTGGAAAATTTATTATTTATTTATTTATTTATAGTATTTTGAGGTGGAGTCTCACTCATCTTACAGGCTGACCTTGAATTCACTATGTGGCAAAAGGTGGTTTTGAATTTGTGCTTTCTGTTACCTCAGCCTCTTGAGTCCTGGGATTACAAGCAAGTGCCACCAGGCTTAGCTTACTAACTGGAAGTTTTAAATTATATGAATGTGGATTTTTTTCCATTCAGACCCCATGTAGACCCTACCTTGGGCTTCTTCTTCTTGGCTAAGAAAGAGTGACAACAATATCATTCCTAGTGCCCCTAAATGATTTTCAGAACATGAATGGTAAAAAGTGGTATTTTTACACAAGTACACCAAACCACTTGGAATATGGATGATGTATCTTCCTGCTCTTTCCTAGCTAGTTTTGTTCAGTAGGATTCCTGGAGGTTCCTGTTGTTTGCTGGTGGGTCACATACTCAGTGAAAGTTACATGTCTATCACTTTTTGTTTTTCTTGCTCACAAATTTAGCATACAATATGTCTAACTATTATGGAAGAACAGGCCAAACACTGAAATGAGTGAATAAGATAAAATATTCTCTCTTTCTTTCCTTCCTTTTTTTTTTTTTTTGTTTGTTTGTTTGTTTGTTTGTTTCTGGTAGCAGGGGTTGAACTCAGGACCCTGTACTTGCCAAGCAAGCACTCATGCAAGATAAAGTATTCTTGAAGGAAATCTGTTTCCATTCTTACCTGTCATTCTAATTAGCTCTCCACATTGTTGCCAAAATGATAATTCTTGCATGAAAATCTGATTGTTTTACTGTCTCGCCTAAAATCTTTCAATAGTTCTACATTATCATGCGGTTGAAAGTTAGAACAACAGGACAGAGCAGTCTATTTATGACCTGGCCTTAACTCCCCACCCATAGCCTACACAATCTAGCATTCTCTTTTCTCTCTCCGTTTATTTTCTTCTTTTTTTATAAATTTATTTATTTATTTATTTGTGTGTGTGTGTGTGTGTGTGTGCAGCTCTCCCCACCCGCTGGGGGATTGAACCGCGGTCCCTGTGCTTTGCTAAGCTTGTTCTAAGTAGGTGCTTTAGACCACTGAGCCATCTCACCAGCCCTCCGTTTATTTTCTTCTTATGCTACAAGTGTATACAAGGTTCTTAAATCTCTCTGTGTATACACTGCATTAATTAGGTTACTATTAATGGTTACAAACACAAAAACATCAACATGTCAATGTCAATGACTACATTACAAGTTATTTTTTCATACTAAGTAGCCCTGGTTCATAGCTTCCCTCTACCTATTATCTCAGCAACTTAAGTTCTTTAAACTTAGAGACTGTCTCCTTTAGAGGCTTTGATTTGTTTCCATCCAGTTAATACAAAATAGACGAGAGAAAAGAGGAGTAGCAGTATCTTTGCCTACTTCAGTGCTGCAGCCCAGAGGGGTCACATGTCACTTGTGCTTGTGTTCTGCTATTGAGAACTCACCAAACGCAAGACAAGCAGAGAACAAAGATCAGGCTTAGCGGTTACTTCCAAACAATGGTTCTACACATGGAGAGAGTTAGAGCCTGGTGCACTCACAGCTGTTTCTTATTAGGCATTGCCGCTCACATGTGCAGCCAGCATTCCAGTTTCTTCTCTGATTCAGCTCGTGGAGGCAGATGTTATATGAACTTGAAGAGTCACCTGAAACTTTGCGTAACTCAAAGGGCTTCAGAATGGCTTCGCTCCATAACGGTGTTTCCTAGCTGTCAGAGCATGTGTTAGGCAGTGTTATTATGGATGCACTTGAGCTCACTTGCATAACCGTGAGGTCCTGTAGAACCAGGACTGTGTATTCATTTTAAATCCATAAATTTCTGGCAAAAGGCATGATGAACCCAATAAATGTTTTATTAAATAATGGAATCTTATTAGATCATTGGATTCATAAGAAAGTAGAACATTTAAAATTGAATGTCTTAAAGAATGAAGTGTGGGCTATTTATTCAAAAACACATACTTCATGGGGGTGGCGGGGAACAAAAAACCCCACATACTTCAATCCTACTTTAAATAAAGAGCTGTTGAAGCCTCTAGAATATCTTTCTTTGTGGGCTGGGGATATAGCTCAGTGGCATAAGCGCCTGGCAAGTGTAAGGTCCTGAGTTCAATCCCTGGTACTGCAAAAAAATAAATAAAGTATCTTTTTTGTTGGTAAATAACTGTTCAAAGGATGCCCAATTACCAGATCACTATGAACAATGTAACAGATTTGTAAATTTAGAAATCAAAGAGTATCACATAGATTCAACTCATCACAAAAAGGAATGTTGTGTCATTAGAATGCATTTGGCTGTAAGTAAGCAGAAAGTTGGCTCAAATTGTTCATGAAAACTTAGGCAAGGGGCGCACTGGGACTGGCCCATCCAGCAGGCCACCATGTTGAAGGTGTCCTTCAAGATCACGCTGACATCGGACCCGCAGCTGCCATACAAAGTACTGAGTGTTCCTGAAAGTACACCTTTCACACCAGTCTTAAAGTTTGACACAGAAGAATTTAAAGTTCCTGCAGCAACAAGTGCAATTATTACCAATGATGGAATAGGAATAAATCCTGCACAGACTGCTGGAAGTGTTTTTCTGAAGCATGGTTCAGAACTGCGAATTATCCCTAGAGATCGTGTTGGAAGTTGCTAATATCTACTGGGAACATATGATTACCTTAAAGGATAAAAATTGCTATTTTAGTGAAAACAGGCTTTTATCACACAATGAAGACACCCAAGAGTCAAGGAAACAATGAGTGGTGGCTCTTGTCCCTTCTTGTTTTTGCATTCTTCATGCCAAGAGGAAGAGCCTATGCATGAACAGAGCCACTGCCACGGAAAGTCATGCTATGGTGACTGCCGCTTCACCAGTAGGGAGTTCATTGATGGCACGTGGATCATGCAACTATTTTTTTACCTGAAAAATAGTTCTGATGATTTTGTGTGAGTACATTTGGAAAATTAAAATTTCCTAAATGTTATGTAATTGTCTCTGAGTTAAAAATGTACAAAGATTGATTATGGATCATAGATGGCAGTTTGCTTGATAGAATGTTATACACTCATATATAGGTTCTTAAATACACATTTTGTGATAAGTATAATAGACCTACCAATGAATATTTAACTGTTTGTCATGTGCAGCTTAAGTTTTCAAGCTTAATGAGTTATAAGTTTTAATTAAATATCAAAGAACCAGAAATTTAATTTCTTGGTCTGACCTTTATGTGTGTATGTTGATGTCACACACCAAGATCGTTAGCAGT